TACTATATATGATTGGGATAATAAATCTGCTAAAATATATCCTAACTTATATTTTTGATTATTTTTGTTATGGTTATGTTTGTCTCTCAGTTTTGGGTGTGAAGATGGCATTAGCTGGTTTGCTATTCAGTAACATAAGCATTATAAATGTGCCTTGTTTACATGAACCACAGATTTGTGTTATTTGCAAGCAAATTCATGGATCTTGCACACAATGTTGCAAGTGTTCAACATATTACCATGCCATGTGTGCATCAAGAGCTGGTTACCGCATGGAGGTAAGTTACTTTTAGCTGATCTTTCTACCTAATTTCGCTGCCATTTTCTATAATTAACACAGCATGCTCCCTGTTTGGTATCTACCTTGAATTTCCTCTGAATATTATTATATAATTCAATTGGATGGATCATGAATAAACAGTAACTTTGAAATTTTAAAGATTTGACACCTAATTATCACCACTAATTGAAAGCAATGAATCACTTGCAGTTTTGAAAAGTGCAGTTGAGCTTAGGAAAAGTAATATGTGATGTACCCCATGCTGCAGGAGCTGTTTAGTTTATCTGTACTTTTGTGGTGTACGTCCCTATGTAGTAAACGGTATACTCCTAGGCTATGAGTATTTTATGAATGATGAATCTTTGGTAGAGGTAGCTCATTTCATTTGTCCAGCAGAGAAAACTGAAAACACATTGGACCATCAAGATTCATTCAGTTATTCTTGTAGCTGCGGAATTGATAAATGCAAATCATCTTAATTGACCCATATTTATGTTTCAGTGGTATCTCATTTGTTCATGCTGAAAAAGAAAAGATATCTCATCTTTAGGAATCATGATTTAGTTCCTTTTTGGTGCAAATCAATAAATTGTAGCCAGTCAGTACAAGATCTAGCTGGTTTTAGATCAAACCTTAAACTTAATTTTATCTCAATGCTCTTAGGAACTTGCACTTTCCTAAAACTTTCCAAGTTCAGATTAGAATTTAGAATGTTATTACATCAAAAACAAAAAGTCAAAAGGTTCAAGAAAGCCCTTGAACAAAAACGCAATAATCATTTAAGCCCAACCTTTTATTGCAATCAACCAAGCCTTGAAGTTTTTATTTCGAATCATTTCAACCATTAAACATCTATTTTCACCCAATTGAACCCTTAAATATCTATTTTTACCCCAATTAAGCCCTTAATCAGACGGAAACGGGTGTTGATGGTTAACCAATTTTCGTCTAATAAGGGCTTAATTGATGAAAATAAATGTTTGAGGGCTTAATTAATTGTAATAAAATGATAGGGCTTGGATGATTACTAAATATTTGCTCGAGGGCTTTTTTAACCCTTTAGCCAAACAAAAAACTAATAAACCTAAAAGAGAGAGAGAGAGAGAGAGAGAGAGAGATTTGGAAATCCTTTGAAATATTATGTGATTTTCGTAGATAGATATGTTAAAATGCTGCAGAATTAGTATGTTAAGATTGATTGCTTTTCATGTGGATTTACTTTGAATATAATTTGTTAAGGATCATCCAGTTGATCTATTGTTACCATTTCATTGCTTTATCTTTTCTGTTTAAATTGCAGTTGCATTGCTTGGAGAAAAACGGCAGACAAATAACAAAAATGGTGTCATATTGTGCTTATCACCGGTATGCTTTAGGTATACATGCTGAGTTTCTTTTGTTGAGCAATTTCACATGCACTAATCTTTGGTTCTTGTTTTTCCCCTCATTTCAAATTTGTGCAGCGCTCCTAATCCAGACACTGTTTTAATCATACAGACCCCTCTTGGGGTCTTTTCTGCCAAAAGCCTTGTTCAAAATAAGAAGAGTGGGTCAAGGCTAATTTCATCAAGCAGAGTAAAAATTGAAGAGGTTTCAACTGCAGAAACTACTGATGTTGAACCATTTTCTGCTGCTAGGTGCTGGATCTTCAAAAGAACAAACAATAATAGGAAGGTAAACTTACATTGAAGTTAAAAATGTTCTTACATATTGTCTTGGGGTATCAGTTTGCCTGAATTCATTCCTTGTATATCTTTGGCTATGTAGTTGTCTAAGTTTTTGCCAGATTTTTTTTCCCCTCCATTTCCTTGCCCAACTGTGATTAGCTTGAAGTCTGTTGGTTTACGAGTTAAAACTTTAAAGCTGCCTCTGTTGGTTTATGAGTTAAAACTTTAAAGCTGCCTTTTGTTTTTAATGTCAAGGGAAAAAGTGAAGGTGGAAGGAAAGAAAACCATCAGATTTTGCTTCCTCTCCAAGTCTATTCTTTTCCTCAATGTTGCTTTATGTATTTGTTTCTGAATCACAAGAAGGAAAATGGTTCTAGCTTCTCTCTCTCTCTCTTTCTTTTGATATTATTTTGATCTTGGTAATATTTATCTTTACCTAGAGAACTGAAGAAGAAGCCATTGCCCACCGATTAATGAGACCTTGCCATCATCCTTTAAGCACTATACAGAGTTTGAACGCATTCAGGGTAAATTTCTCTTCTTTCTACAATCTATGTTTTTGTTTACACTTTTTGTCCTTCGAATTTGAATTCCAATAGAAATCAATCCTTTGTTAATATTCATTATTTTATTTCATGCCATTTAACAGGTAGTAGAGGAGCCTAAAGGTTTTTCATCTTTCAGGGAACGACTCTACCACTTACAGGCAAATCTCAATCTTTTTTCCTTGTGAGAACTTATATTCTGATCACTTTACTAAATCAGGTTTGTGCATGATGAATACAGAGAACTGAAAATGATCGAGTTTGCTTTGGTAGGTCTGGAATACATGGGTGGGGCCTCTTTGCCCGTAGAAACATTCAAGAAGGAGAAATGGTATTTATGAAAAGCCTTTTTTGGTTAATTTATTTTTTAATTCCTCAGGGTTTAAAAAGCTATTATCTATTTTGTCCTACAAATTAATTATACGAAGATCCATAGACTGGTGGCCTGTTTGAAACTATAATGGACATTCAAATGGCTCATTCTGTTTTGGAAGCATTGGAATGCATGAGTTTATTTTCATTTGAAGTGGTCATTTACTATCACAATAACTGATATTAAAAACTTAAAGTAATATTTTAGTCCTCTATAACTTACAGTAATATTTGTAATTCTACATTTATCTTGTGGTTTAAATGAAATTCTAATTCCAAATGCCATATAGAGCACCATTGCAGTTGCAAATCTGAAAAGGAAAAAATTTGTAGTATTTCTTGTATATTAATATTATGTTCAAAGCAGTATAGATAAGAGATGAAACTTGGTTAAAAAGAAAACAGCATCTAGAATGTCCTAAGAACATACAGCGAATATGCCAATGCGTGCTCTTACGTAGAACATTCTCAATACACCTGAAACATGCATATGCGAACATTTGGATAAGTAATGTTTTCATTGTAAAAAAAGGTATAATGGTAATTATATTAAAGCTTAAAATAATGTTTGCAATTCTATATTTTGTCTTGCGTGTGGAATGACATTCTAATTAAAAATGCCAGATAGAGCATATTTTCATATAGCAACTAAATTATTCTAACAGGATATTGGACAAACTTGGTATGGGGGAGTAACATTTTGCATTGTACAGAATACCTGCAAACTTTACTTAAAAAAAAAAAAAACCTGCAAAATTTGCATATCTGAAGGTTTAGAATATTAACAATTTCTGATTTGCTGACAACAGAAATTAAGCTTTTACATGGACCAAGAAACTTTTGTTTGTCTTCAGGTCCTTGAATACCGTGGGGAACAAGTGAGGCGAAGTGTTGCTGATCTAAGAGAAGCACGCTACAAAGTAGAAGGAAAAGACTGCTATGTAAGATGACTTTTCCTTAACTATACAATTTGCAAATGTTTCTAAGTATCTCTTGATGTAAAAGGTTTTGGGTTGGTCAGAAGCATTCAAGTCAAATTGTTTTGGCAATTCTCATGCCGAATGTTGTCTAGTGTATTTTGAAGCATTTGAAAGCGCCACGTCTTTGGTCCTTGTATCTTCCATCTCTCTCTCTCTCTCTCTCTCCCCCTCCCCTATTGGTACTATAGATAAGACAAGATCACCAATCATCAATAACATATTCTTCATTCAGCCAAAAATCTTTCTGTTGTTCTTTAGCTTTCTGCATCTATGATATTTTTGGGACTGAGTTGCGGGAACAACATATGTTGCAGTTGTTCAAGATCAGTGAAGAGGTGGTGGTGGATGCCACTGACAAAGGGAACATAGCACGCTTAATAAATCATTCGGTAAGTTAGCATTTTGTTGATGGTCTAACTGCTTTTTGGTTTTCTATTGGTTGGCAAGGTCAACAGAGGAAAAATATTTTTGGCCAAACCAAGTTGTATCTCATACAGTTGATCTTTGGCATCTATATTATAAATTGATCACTCTTGCAGTGCATGCCCAACTGCTACGCAAGGATTATGAGTGTGGGTGATGATGAGAGTCGGATTGTTCTTATTGCCAAGACTAATGTGTCCGCTGGAGACGAGCTGACGTATCTCTCTCTCTCTCTCTCTCTCTCTCTCTCTCCGCGTCTGAACATACACAGTTGATTGTTGGTTGAAATTCTTAATGCTTTGCTTCTAATTGGCAGGTATGATTACTTGTTTGATCCTGATGAACCAGATGAATTCAAAGTTCCATGTCTATGTAAAGCTCCAAATTGTCGAAAATTCATGAATTAGGATACACACACAGCACAGCCATTGTTTATCCTCAAGGACCACTAACCCAATTCCCCAATGCAAGGGGAATCTCACAGTCATTATACACCCAAAGTAGTAATTTTTGCCAGAAAAAAAAAATGCATCTTTCTTTTTTTTTTTTTTTTTTGTTATTATTATTATTTTTTACAAATTTGATGCTTAATAAAACTATAGATTTGCCAGCTGCTATTCAAACGTTCGTTTATATTTGTTAACGCTTACTTTCATCATAGTTGAACGATAACCCATTTTTTGTATATATATATATATATACGATTTTTTTTTTATGGGGGGTTGGGGGGGGGATTATGTGTAGGTGTCTTATATTGATGAGAAAAAACCCACTTGAACTTTGATGTTGAATTTGGTTGGACTTGTGCCATGCTAGCCTATGAAGGACACTGACAACTAACTCCAGGTCCAGGGTTTAAGCCCAACCCATCCCATTGTAAAATTTTGAATTAAAATAAAATCATAGTAATAAAAAATAATATGACAAAAAAAGGATGCATTATTAATTTTTGATGAAATAGTACAATTATTGCAAGGCCCCGTAACTTACATCTTGGGTTATTACTTCTTTGTAAATTATTGATACAATATATATTATTCAATAATTTGAATCTAAAATTAAAAATATATGCAATTAATGCGAGTAGTAATTTATAAAAAAGTTGTGAAGCCCAAAAGCTTATTGTTTCCACAAGGACCCTAGAATCTGTCTGTTCCGCCCCATCAACGCTCAAACAAACATGCTACTAGTATTAATTAATTAATTAATTAATTAAAACGCCATCTTATTAAATTTGTGCTCTTTCTTTGGCAGTTGAAGAATTACGAAAAATTGACCAAAAAAAAGAAACAGTTAACTGACCAAACTAAAAAGCATCCACCTAAATAAGCCTGTGAAACGTTAGAAATATTATAGCAGCCTAATATTGAGATTTTCACGAGTCAGGCTCACTTACCTCTCCCCACAACTATAATCATAGTGCAAAGATAATAGCATGCACCATTAGCAACAAAAATGCCAACTCATAAAAGATAAACGGTAAGTTCATTTATCTGAACCAGAAATAGGAAGACATTAAAACAAAATCATAGCAAGACAACTAGAGCAGAGATGATTCAGAGGGCAACTTCAAATGTTAGATGCATCCAAACAGAAAGTAGTACGTGACGATGATCAAGAATCAAGATGCAAGGATGCCTAATCCAGGAAACCAAATGCCATATCTCATTTTATTTCCTTAATAAAGATAATGATAGGCAACCAAAAAATAATAATAATAATAAAAGGCAATAATAAATTAACAAAAAGCACATTAAAGAACAACAATATAGAAATTGTCTCAACGTGTATTTTCAGGAGAATGATGTATCCGACTTAAAATTACGGACTCAGACTCATTTGATCCAGGAATCAAAGCCCCAGATACCTTAGGAGAACCATCTGACAAAATTAAGGAACCACTAATTGCATCATCAAAAGCCTGCCTTTCATTGGCATAACAGACAGACTTATCGCCTTCAGTTTGGTCTATTTCATTTGAATTTTCACCATCAATGGGCATAAGAACAGCCTCTGATGCATTATCAACCAACCTGAAGGAATCCCCAACTACATCCCCTGAAATCATCTGCTCAGACTCGATCTTTTCCACCTCATTGCCATTCAAAACTGGTTTGGGCACCTCTGGGCTCCTATTACCAAAATCAGTATTTGGCAGTTCTGATTTCTCTGGAGAAAGGCTATCCATATGATCTGGCAACTCTCCACTTTGAACTGAAACTAGCAGTTCCATATTCTCCTCAGAAGCAGCAGTTGGAACAGCTTCTCCTTTATGCTGAACTGAATCCAGCATTTCAGAATCAGAAATAAAAACTGGCTCCTCTGCTTCTACAACATGATCGGAACTTTGCTCCTTCCCCTTCTCCTGATTGGACCCTGAAATAAATGCTAATATTCCACCATTGATATTTAGGATAGCACCCATTTGTAGCCTCTGCTTCTTGTAAAGGTCCATGGCTTTCTGCAAGTAAGAAAACAAATGTGAAACACCAACATTAGTTTAGAATCAGAAGTTCAAAGCCGAAATAGAAATTTACTATGTTTGATCTGGGGGAAGAAAAAACTCTTTATCATTCCAGAATGGAGCTGATGAATATCATCACTCAAAACTATAAGAAATATTAGAAATTAGAAAGGGTCTGTGGGGCCAAAATAGGGAAAAAAGCTGGAAAAGGAAGCATTCCCCAGGTCAAATTTTCAGTAAACTACCTAATAAGTCATAATCCTATTCCCCTCCCATACTTTTTGTGTGATCACCGACTTCCAGATGTACTACCCCCTCCCTCACCCAAACCCCCTGTTTCCAAAAAAGAAAGAGAAAGAAAAACAATGGAAAACCAAGCATGAAAAAAAAGAAGGGCAAATTCGGAGGCTAAAAGTAGAAAATAGAAGAATGTAAAGTGTTTATATTACAGATCAGTATTCAAAATAAGGAGTAACCACCATATAAGATCTTCCATTTGTCTCCTCCCCCCCCCCCCTCCCAACCAAAAAAAAATGCAAAACTAGCCCCTAATAAAAAAAAAAAAATGTAAGCTTCGCTGTTCCCACCAAAAAGGTAACATAAAAGAAAGATCTTAGATACATATATGCATACATGGCCATATACATACATCAGTTTCCCAACTACCTGAAAAACAGAAGCATTAGTTGCAGGAATGAGTGAAGGGCTCAGCATAGCAATTGAAGCCTTTTGTACTGCTTGTCCACCATTCTGATAAAATTCAAGAAAAAACATATATAAGTCAATGCTAAATTAGATATTGAGATAACGAATTACATAAAAGAAGGTTTTCTACCTTCAAATTCACAAGCATTGTTAAATCTTTAACCAAATTTTTACTTCGCTCCACATTCAGTAAGCTCATGCACCGATCAAACAACTCAGAACCAGCAAGTTCTGTTGAAATGTCAAGCTTAGAAAGATAAAACTGGCAATAATGAGCAGCACCATCATCACTTGATATTTTGGAAGAATGAGGTGATTTGTGTGGAATCTCAGGTGAAAATCTAGAAGATTCTTTTACTGGTGACATGACATCAGATTTTATTTCAAGGCATTTCACCTGAACACCACTATTGCTACTTTCATATTGAGACCTATAACGTTCCTGTCCATTATAAACATCATCAAGAGGGGCCTGCACAGGATGATCCTCTTTCTGAGGTGTTGAGGGCAAGTCAACATCACCATTTTGTCCTTTCCACACATCTGAAGTGGTATCCCATCCCCGACCATTCACTGGATGCCTATTCCGGTCCCATTCAGAGTCCCCAAACATGTGTGCTTCATCCCTAAAAACTACATTATTTCCATCCCAACCATGCAAATGGGCTGGACCAGAGCCATCCATCATATTCTGCCAGCCCATTGGGCGCAAATGGTTGGAAAACCTTTCAGCATCAGGTATATGATAAGGAATCCCAGAGTGATTAATTTCCATCGAGGGTCTAATGCCAAACAGAGATGGAGAAGGAAACTGAGGCATCATAGGTTGAAAACCACCATGGGGCAGCCCAGGTTCGAATGGGAAGAAGCCATTTGGAACAGGTGATGGCCAGTTTGGGGCACCCTGCCAAGGATTTGCTTGCCCTCTTCCAACATTCAAATCACCACCCCTCTTGTAACGGCCACTGATATTAATTCTATTATCTTCTTCCAGAGAACTCATGAAAGAAGGGCTACCAATTCCAGCTCTGAAACCACATGGATGTGGAATCAAAGATGTCTGACCAGCTCTATTATAAAAGGCAGAATCTGCTTGAGAGGATTCATCCAAAAGAGGCTTATCAGGAGGTAAGTCTTGAATTAGTCTATCCTCAACAGCAGATAATTCTCTGCCACCCATGGAGGCACTGCTCCTCCATCCTGTCTCCTCCACGTCAAGGTTCCACCTAACACCACTTCTATTCATATATTTACGCTTAAGACTTGTTGAAGGAGATCTTTCCATCATACTCATTGGAGAAGCTTTTGAACTTGAGGACCTCTCAATTGGTAACTCCCCAGAATGGCCCTCATCCACTCTACTTGATTTCTCCTTGGATCTGTACTTAGCACCTTTTTCAGATGCTCCAGAAAAACTAGTTGCCTCTCTTGATGATGCTGCTTTGGACTTCTGCTCTGTCATTGAATCTCTATACTTTGAATCTTCTTGCTTCAAATGTCTATAAAAGAAAATAACTCTATATTATACTCTCAACAAAGCACTTGGGAGAGTGGCATGGGGCCATACCCACAAGCACCAAAAATAATTAGAATGCCCACATGTAGTGAGAAAATAAGATCAGTTTAAATTGTCAAACAATAAATATGAAATCTGAGAGAAACTAACAGATACCATACCATTGTTTTTTCAGTTTAAAATTGCATTCATAGATTAAGGAATCAACAATATTGAAGGGGATGTGATAAAGAAACAAAGTACCTATACTCATCAGTCCCACCAGGGGAACTCGAGCTGGAAGCAGTCCTCCTTTTGTTGCTGACCATAGCAGCATCTACGTTGGCTTGACAAGACTGAGACCTTCCCCTATCAGCATCAAACTCAACTCTACCACTAGTCAATGATTTGTTTTCCATGTCAGTATACTGTTCTTTGGTACCTCTAAATTTAGTATCATTACCATCATCTTGATCATCAGGAGATCTCTTCCTCCCCCTGCTATCTTTGTATCTAGAACTCCATTCATCATGTAACCCATCGCGGTCATGATCAAGATCTCGGCCATAGTCACGATCTTGGTCTCTAACCTTGTCCTGACCATTGTCACGATGATTATGATCTTGATCTCCATCCCAATCACGATCACGGTCATGATCACGATCATAATTGCGGTCACGTTCTCGATAATGGTCACGATCACGATAACGTGCACAGTCCCGATCACGTCCCAAATCTAAGTCTCGATCCCGATCATGTTCCCGCTCCCTGTCACACTCACGCTCCCTAATGCGATCATGGTCACTATCTTGAAACTTGGACTTCTTCTGCCGAACTGCTACAGCATCTTTTTCATCCTTTACATGCCTCTCACTAGACTTACTATTAGCATAATCTCTTGCTGGTCGCTCTTCTCTCAATTTTTCATCTCGGTACTTGTCTTTGCAGTCCATGTCTTCTCGATACTTGCCTTTGTATCTCTCATCCTTGTGCTTCTCATCTTTTACTCTTCCATCCTTCCAAGTATCATTCCTTAGAGACACCTGTCTATCCAAAATACCTCTATTATCTTCCATATGCTTATCCCCATCACCAGAACCATCTCTCCTTTTCCTAACTCGGCTCTCTGATTCAGGACTTTGCAACCGATCTGCTACATTCAACTCTGAAACAACAAAGATAAAAGATATAAAGAATAATTTCACAAGACCAAGTAATTGATAATTAGTATTTCCCACACAACAAAAAGTATAACTTATACAAGAAGCCATTAGATAAAAAATAAAACTCATTTAATGAAAATGACAAACTTCTGGTTTCATTGCATGAAAGTAAAAATAAATTAAGTAATAAGTAGATGTTACCATGAATATTTATTAATCAACTATTTACAGAGGAAGACTCAAAAAACAAAATCTCAATAGTTAAATTCTCATTCCAGCCAACACACGTTGCACATCATCTATCACCAAAAAAAAAAAATCAAAAACTAAAACTAAAAACAAAAAAACTCTTCTCGAAATCCCACTTGAAAACGACCATACAGTTTATCAATTTTCACAAATAGAAGAGAATAACCTAGGGGGAATGCACAATTCAAGATAAGTAACAAAATACCAAGCAGCTAGCAGATCCATATACCACTGATAACGTATAGCATCCAAGCTCAATAGGAAATTTAAAAACAAAAAGCAAAGTGAAAGATTGCAAGCTAAACATTAGAATTCATAAAGCATACAAATAAGACTTAAATAGTCTACTAAAGAGGCAGCAATCACTTTAAATCTCTGTAAAATCAGAAATCACGCAAAAGCATCAAAATCGTGACACATCCTAACATAGCACTGATATTATTTAAGCCAAAGCATCAAAACTCAACCTTTTATATTAGGTTTGAAACAAAAGTCAGCTCACCAAACCGACTAAAACAACCTATTCAGGCCCAAATATAGGTGAATAGATGACCATATTCATAGTGAGATGACTTACCATTGAGCTTATGAAAGAAGGAACATTCTTTGATTACCGGTTGATGATCTTGACATTGTATTTATTGCCAAATATTTTAAATACAGGACTATTAATAAAAAGTTAGAATTCCCATAATATTTTATTAACCTTCAAAACTCCCTTCAAAGTTCCAACATACCATTTATTGATATCGGAAATACCATCAATTTCAATTTAATGTTGAAGATACCAAAAAACAGTAGACCAGTAAAATGGAAAATGCACTGCTGAAAACTAACCAAAATTTTCAATTTAATATTGAAGATAAAAACAGAAAAAAAAAAAAAAGAAAAAAGATGAGCAACCTAATTGACCTACAAGTGCCCATGTGCTATTGCTCTGGTACCCAAAAAAAGGGAGAATGTCAGTGCAGAAAAGAATAATGCATTAAGTTTTAAGGTCAGACATTAGTTGCCTTCTAACAATAATGCAGAAGGGTATAAAAACAAAGCAAAAACCACAGCTTCCCAATATCATAAAAACAAATTTATAGAAACAATCTTCTCCCATTAATTTTAACTATGTCAGCTACTCTTTAAATTCCTCAACCCAGCTTCTCATCCCTGCAAACACAAACATCTACTTTTCTTCTTTCTCTCATGCAACAAATAAAATTCCTAAATCACCTAACTCTTAACACTTAAGAATTATGTAGTTTGAAGTTACACTTCCTTATATAAAAAATCCCATATTAATCTCTTAAACAAATAAAAATAAAAATCAACTTCAAATGCTTTGTGAGAGTCAAAAAAATATAAAACCATGGATGTGTTAGTGAGACATTAATTAAGACCAGCTTTCTTCAGAAATATATATGTATATATATTATAAAGTTAAAAATAGTTGAAATTTCAATTTTATTCTTTCTACTGATTAACAATGGATAGTCATTAATTACAAAGGCAAAACCCAAATTATAAAGAGTTTTAAAGAGGATTTTTAAGCTAATAGCAGAGAAAAAAAGGTCTAACAAACAAAATAAAATATAATAGCATCCTATCACTCAACAAGCATTATGCCACTTATTACAAGATCTTAGTTCATCATGTAACATTGGCAAAATGTTATGTCTATGAATGCAATCCCACTGATACAGTCAAATTGGATTGCTATCATGAAGATACAAGACTATAACAAAGTGGGAAAAGTAGAACTTGATCATGATATCCCAAAAACTCAAAGTACATTAGTTTAATTCATTAAGAATATGTGAGGAAACCCACGGCATGAACTTACATACATACTGGTACATAGATTGAAAGCAAATGCACAAGAAAGTCAAGCAAAGCTTTGGGTGGAATCAGTTTACTAGGACATAAAACTGCTAAGAGAGCGAAATGATTGCAAACATAGTGGAAAATGAATTGAATAGTAAGTGAAAATCTGGACAAAATAGGCTACATTATAACAAAAACAGCTTTGCCGTCCTCAGACATAATTCGTTTTCTTTCTGACAACAATTAGAAACATAAATATTTTACCCTTTCAATGCATAATATGTTAACTTCTTAAACCAAATAAAAAAAACAAGTCTACTAACTGGGAAGAAAATAAGATAACAATCAATCGCAATATACACTACCTAAAAACAAACAAAAAAACAAAGCACAAAAACAATTAGAAATGCACATACGTTATTGCAACTAACCAACCAACAAACAATAAGTTACCTTACCAGTTTTTTCAGTGGATTGTTTTACAGTGCGGCGTTCTTCACTCTCAATCAACCTATCAATCTTGCCTTCTTTACCTTTCTTCTCTCTCTCCCTTTCCTCCTTTCTACTGGATTCTCCATGCTTCCCCTCACTCTTTCCCCTCTTTGCATCATCTCTTTCCACATCCCCTTGTCTCTTACTCTTTGATTCACTAGAAGCTTTAGACTTCTTGTCTCCTTTACCATCATCCTCACCGCCATTCCACCTGTCGCTTACTCCATCATCTGCCTTATCTTTGCGCCGCTTCGAGGAACTGTACTCTTCCACATACTCGCCATTCCCCGAACTCCAGAGGTCCTTACTGGTCTCCTTCGAATTGAGATTTCTCTTCTCACCGGATCCCGACTCCTTCGAAATCCAACCACTGCTCTCCTCCTTAGTCTTCTTTTCCTTCTCCTTTAATCCCGAATCTTTCTCCGAATCTGAGTAGTCCCTAGCATCACTTGAACTATGCTTGCTAGATTTGTGCCTTGAACTTCGCGTCATCACCGGAGCCAACTACGAAAACTCAATAAAACCCTAACCGGAAAATAAAAATAAAAAGGGGACACAAAACTCTCCGAATAAAAAGTCAAAACCCTACTCCCAAATCAATATTCAATATAAAAAACCCTAATTAGAATCTTCAAACAGAAAACTAACGGCGATTGTCGAAACGGGCAAAAAAAAAAAATACTGGAAACCCTAATAGCGCAGAATAGGAGTGAAGTCGGTGTGAACCCTAACGAAGAAAGAGAGGGAAAGGTTAACGCAGAGAACAGATCAGAGAGTGGAGGCGGGGGCGGTTGGGAAGAATGGGATCGAAAATGAGGGAAATTACGAGGGAGCCAGGGCAGGGAAGAAAGATTTTTGGGGTTTTGAAAAGGGGATGGGGTCGTTTTGGGAATACACGTGGAAGAGAAAGTAACTTTGAAGACGGGAGAAAAAGAGGTGCACTTTGTGTGTTAATGGCCTTTTTTTTTTGTCGTTTATTGTGTCCGAGTCAATAAATCACTGGGTACAGGTGCGAAAATTTTGTCAATCTGACAGGATTACCCCTCCATGGTTACTCGTATTACGGTCTTATCCTTGGCTTTGCTCGGCTGGATGCGGTTTTCCAATCAATTAATTTTTAACCGTCAATAATCGGTTTATTTAACGGAAAGGTTATTTTGGTATCTTTGACAACTAGTTTTTTTTCCCGTGTCATGTACAGAATTTTTATTATATTTTTAATAATTTAAAATTTTAATTAATATTAATTTTTATATTATATATAAATAAGTAAAAATATTTATAATCATCTACAATTTATAATTTAAAATTACAAAAATTATCTATATATATATAAATTATTATAAAAAAATTTAAATAAGCATTATGAAAGTTTGAATTATAAAAATAAAATTACATACAAATCTCAATTAAAAAGTTAATATTTTGTTTACAGTTACATCTACTCTTAAAAGTATATAATATTTTAGTATAAAAATTAAGATTTACATATGTGATATGTCATGAATGACTTTTTCATATTTAATTTTGAAACTTTATCATGTTTAACTTTTCTAATAAAAATCTAATTATTTTATCTTTTATTAAAAAAATATGGACTGTGAGAAAGGAATCACAAATATATATTTGATAATTATTTAATTTTTAAAAATATAATTTATTTAAGTTTATTATTAAATTAAAATAAAAGATGCTAATATAATTTTAAATTTAAATATACGTGTAATTTTAAATTGAGATGAATATTTTTTTATTTTAAATCAAAAGAAAATAATGTTTAAAAAAATCTTAAGAAAATAAAGGCAAAAAATTGATAAACATCGGTGCTTCAACTACAATTTTATTTATTTAAATTTACGTGAATATTGATTTAAACAGTGTATAATTTTTTATGACTATTAAAATTTAGAGATTTAACTTTCAAAAGCTATTTAAATTTTATATTTCATATATATGAGCAAAAGTGAAGTATGAGATATGTTGTTTAGGTTTAAATTAGGATACTTATATATTTTGAAAGATTTAGATAAATGTAAATTGTGAAAGTTTAAAATTTTTAAAAATTGAATAATTGATTAAATAAATTTATTTAGAACTATCCTATGTGTCAATAATATGGATTATTTATTTAAGCATCAATGTAAGTAAATATTATCAAAATTTTATGTATGTTGTAATATAATATTATATATGATATATAATATATGATAAGATATATAATATCAATGCAATCATCAAAATAATTTTATTATCAAGATGTTTTGAAATCATTTTTTTATTAATAATCACTAATTTTTAAAAATTAAAAATTATTTTATTTAATATTTTTAAAAATTAAATATTATTTTATTAAACTTATAAAAATAATCATATATATTATAATAGTTACACAAATTAATAATTTATATTATTTAAAAATAATTATTTATAAAATATTAATAATATTTTATTTATTTTATAATTAAACATAATTAAATTATATTTACGAATAAATATATTTATTGATAGGTAAATAAATTTTATAATATAAATTATGTAGAAAAACATTTAAATTAAAAAATTAAATTAATTTATTAAATTCATAATAAAGAAAAATAACAAATTTTATATTATATAAAATATTAAAAAAAAATTATTTTTAATTTTTTACAAGAATATTAATTTGAAAATATAAAATTTATATAATATAAAATAATTATAATTTAAAAAAAAAAAATTTTTAATTCACATATTAAATAAATAATATTAATTATTATTAATTTTACATATCATTTTATTTTGATAATAAAAATTTTTACGCTTTTGTGTAGGAATTAAATTACTTTAAAAATAATGATTCGATCACTTTTAATAATTTAAAATCATCGACACATTGAATTATGAATATCTATCTAATATAATAATTTAATTACTATATATAAATTATAATAAATTTTAGAATAATTACTTTGTACCTAACACTCTTTAAAAAACTTATAACAAAGGAAAAATACGAAAGAATATGGATTTCATGTAAAACAAAATATTGCAAGCTGAATATTAATTAATGGTTCAATTGTCATTATTAATTTTTGAAAATCATCCCTAAATGCCATGCTTTGAACGTGCGAGGTCAAAACCAACCCAATTACATGAGAATTTTCAAAACTGAATCAATAATTAGATGCTTAATGAGTTTCAATAAATTCAGTTAAAAATGAAACTAAAAACATTTTGTAAATCTATTTTCTATAATTTTATCATTCAGTTTTTTTTTTTATAATAATAAAATGCAATGATAACAATGAAAAAAAAAAAGGGTAGGCACAGAGATTTGTCTCAACGAAATGGATTTGCAAATTTTTATTAAGAAAAAGAAAGTCTAAAATTTTGCTGGTACGTCTATTGCAGAATAATAACCTATAAAATAAAAAATAAGCTAAAATAAAAAAATGTAAACTTTAAACTTTATTTTAGATAAATTTTTATAATTTTATTGCATTCAAACAAATTGTTAATATTTAATTTATATATAAATAAATTTTTAATTTTTAATTTTGATTCAAATAAGTCTTTAAACTTTTAATTTGTATATAAATAAACTCATAATATAAATTATTTTTTATTAAAATAAAATTTTATTTAAAAAAATTTAAATATAAAAACTTATTTGAATACAAAAAAATATATAAATTTATTAAAAAAAATTCAAGAAATTTTTAGTATTTTAACCAAAATTATAATTCTGAATTATAACAAAATGAAAGCGCTGACATGACAATGATGTTGGATCATGAACGGAAAGATACCCGAAAAAACCAATTGGTGAGTAGCTAAAATGGAAAAAAATGTTTGGAGATGGCAAGGGAGAGAGAGAGTGACATTTGTGAGGACATGGAGTGATGGTTTAAATCGAATTTAATTTGATTTTTTAAAATAATTTATAATATTATAAAATTTTAAATTTTAACTAAAATTTAAACTAATTTTTTATATTTATTTGATTTTATCTGAATTAAAATTTATTGATTTAGTTTGGTTTTTTTATTCTTAAAATTTAAAATTTAATTATTTATATATTATTTTAATATATTTAAATAGATTTGGACATAAAATAAATTTTATTTTATAAAAATTTAAAATATTATAAAAATTACTAAAATATATAATTTGATTAGGTTTAATTTTTTTTTATTTTTCATTTCATAATTTTAAATTTGATTTGAATCTAATATATGCATTTAATACATAAATTTAATCTAAACTAAATAAAAAAAATCGATTAAGAACATTACAATTAGATCTGATAATTTTAGATACGATATGATGACATGTTATGAAAATAATACATAATAAATCATGTATGTGTTTTGTATAATCATGTTTCATATTTTAATAGCATTGACACGTTTAAGACATGATGTTGCACATGTTGTGTTTCGTGTCTTACACGTGTTATACATTTAAAACACGACTAATTAATTAATTATATTTTAATCATATTATCGTGTCAACACATATAAATGACACGTTTATAACACGTATATAATTGTGTTTTAGTATTTCTATTATATTATCATTTTGATTTAATGTTAAATTGTTGATCAGATATTTTAGTATTAATCGTGTTAATCATGTATAATCATATTAATCGTATTGTGTCGTGTCATGTTACTCATTTTTAAAATAAATTAAAATATAATAATCGTATCGTATCGCGTGTAATACGTATAACAAACATATCACATTCGTGTTTTACTTATTCATGTCATTTAAATATTCATATTGTGTTCGTGTTAAAATAATTCGTGTAATATTTAAAATCGTATATGATATAAAATACGATACAATAACACAAATTATCAAATTCATCTCTTAATCAATATTTGTGGTAACAAACAACAGGACGATGGATCTATTTTGAGCTTTTTTGAAAGATTACCCATTTCCATTATAAAAGTGCCCTTTAATTAGATAGTAACGACGTTGTTTTTAACCTACTCCGTAAGTTTTATAATCTTAATTTATGACATGGAATTCAATTAGAAAAAAAAAATCATATTCAATAAATAAATAATAATTTGGTTTCAAATTATTTGGATGTTATTAACTTTCATTAAGTTTAAGACAAAAATTTTAATTTTAATGTATTTAATATTAAATTTTAAAAATTTTTTATAAAATTAAAAATTCATAATTATTAATGTTAAAAAGTAAAAAAATATAAAAATATATAATTTTAAAATATAAAATAAGAATTTTAGATGTTAAAAAAAAGAATATAATTTTGAAATATTTCAAAAATAAAAAATGGATAAAGAAAATGTGATGGAATGGGTAAAAAAGTTTAATATTTAATACACTATTAGTACAGACAGAGATTTTATATAACCTTGACCTAGTGATAAAGAAAAAGTTTTAGAATCTTGAGATTTTAGGTTTAAGTCATAATATTTAAGGTTTTGGTTGTTTAGTTAAGTTCTAATTTGTTAGTTGATTATTAAGTGATGTAATATTTGATTGCAAGTGAAAATTAAAAAAATATTATATATTATCAATTAATCAAACAATAATAATTCATTAATGAAATTTTAAAAAAATTAAAATTTTTATTGTATTTATTTTAAAGATTAATAAAATTTTATGTTTAATTATTAATGGAATAGATCATGTGTACAATTATACAGAATGACAATAAGGACAACTTAACTGTCAACTTTTCGGCTATCACCTAAAAACCAAACTTTGCCTTACCTAAAGTTATAAAAATATTGCTAATTTTTGGGTTTGAAATCATTGCTTTTATATCTAGTATTGGTTATAATTCAAAAAACATTGTGTATTCTTAATAAGAGAGAGAAGGATTAAAGATTTATGAGATATTACATTGTTCAAAAAATCGTAAATGCTGTTGGAGTAAAAGATTGTCAACAAGGAAGTTTCATGGTAAATGCATCACGTATATACTCATAAATAAATTTGAATAGAATAA